AGTGCCAGGTGAAAGAGTTTTTCCGGACCAGGACCATTTGCCGCCTGGTGCCTCTCTGGAACAGCAGGCAGAGAAATGGACTGTGTACCCATGTTTTGTTTTTGTTTGTTTTTATTCCCCAGATTGTCGCTCAGTGAGAACAATTTGGTATTTTTATTTTTTCCGCTTGGTCTGTTCATCACTAAACAAAATCAAAAAAACAACCAAACTTTCTGTGCACTAACAAGACGATGTTCATGGAATGACACTCACACACAGATCTGTGGATGGTGATTATGATTCCTCTTGTTTTATAAATTTTAAGTTAATTTCAGGCCCGATCCTGGAGCGTCGACCTGCATCGTTTACACTTCCACCCTCTAGGATCTGAAGAATAGCTCTTCAGTTATCCGAGTGCATGATATACAGGGAGGTGGTCAGTGTCTGTCATGGTTTTATTAGTCATGTGGCTCCATTACAAACACAGAGGGGTGATGAAGTGCAGCAGGAGGGCAGAGAATAGCCTTGCTGGGTTTACACACACTGCAGGTATTTATAGGATTTAAGTTTCAGATTCAGAGCTTGTATCTGTGACGTGTCAGACACTGACTCATGAGGACAAACGCCTTCATAGACAGAGGATGCCTGCGTCGATCAGCAGTCAGTCTGATGCATGTTTCCCAGTCACATCTTTGCACATGCAACATCTGTCATTTCTAAAAGCATAAAGTCACACAGCTGAGCTGAATCATCTTCCTGGCAGGTTGATGGGCAGCTGAAGTGTTTAAACTAAAACGTTTCATAAATTCTATGCAGAGTAAAAGGTCAGTGATTCATTCATCGTGTACAACATCATCACTGCAGATGTCGCATCCTGTTATAGTAACAATTAAATCAGTGAATTCCCAATTCCCCACCTGTCCCTGTTGATTAGAGTCAGTTGCATCGATTATTTCAGACGCTGCGATCACGGCGATGAAACATTTTCAAACTTGTGATCACAAGCTTGAAAATGTCTTTTTTAATTTAAATGAAAATTTCCAAGTGGTTAGAAAGTGAAGGATGAACCTCTGCTGCTCGTATTTAACACCGTCCCTCCCCCTTCAAATGTCACGGACAGTTTTCCTGAGACAACAAGCTCAGTGAATGAGGCCGCAGATCGTCCCTGGTCTGACAGCTGTCGTGTCTTTACAGGAAGCCAATGCCTTTAACTGACAACCTGAGACGACCCCCCCACCACCACCCACCCAAAAAAAAGCCATTTAAAAATTGTATTCACATTTCTGGAGAATAGAGCAGTTTATATTAGACGGACTCGTCATCACCGTGGGGTTCTCTCTGAGGTTCTGTGGAAACCATCAGGCTCAGTGTCTGGAGTTGAATTTTACTAACGTAATATAATGAATGAAGAACCAAAACATCTATACAGGAACCCTGAAGTGGCGTCCAGGCGTCTGTCATGTCTCCAGTTTAGTAAAATGTGCTGAGAAAACACTGACCTTCTAAAAAGATCACTTCACCACTCTGTTATTGAAACGTGCTCATGTTGTAATCCGGGAGCATGTCCCAGATTAAAACATCAAATACTGCAAATTCAGATTAGATATCTCGTGTTTGAGTTTTGACTCATGAAGTCCAAGCAATGAGAAGCAGGTGCTTTTCACCTGATGGAAACGTGTTATATAAGGGAAGTGATAAGCCATATTAGTGTGATGAAACTCTCTGGGTTCTATCCTGTGTTTCTCCTCGTTCCTTCTGCTCGTTTATTTCTCTGTGCTCTTACTTTGGCGAGCCGATGTTTACGTTGGATGAGCGGGGCCGTTCTTTAATTATAGATGAATGAATGATAGTATTTACACAGATGAATGGACACAGGGATGAGAGCTGGTTCAGATCCAGCGTCAGTGTGGAGAAGGCTGAGCTGAAAACTGCTTCCTGCCATCAAACATTTACTGAGAGTAAATACTGACGGTAGCAGAGAGATCACAGTTTTATATTGTCTCAGACCTTTCACGTGATAGTTACCACGGAGATGATGTTTTTTTTTTAGCTAAGCTGCTGGCATCTTAAAATAAATATCAGGGGCCAGTTGCACAAAACACCTTAAGTCTTCTCCACTTAAGTAATTAAGCTTCCTAATCTTAGACTTAAAGTTAAGGAGTCACTTAAAGTCAGTAAAATTGTCGCACAAAAGACCTTAGCAACCAAAGTTCCCAGTAAGTATCACAAGTGCAAATCAATGGTCTCCATGGAAACAGAAGAATTTTACTGCTGTAAAATCTCTCTCATTGCTGTAAATTCCTTAACTTTTTTTCCTTATCTAAGGAAACCTTTAAAGAGATATTGTGCAACAGCCTTAAGTAACTCCCTCACCTAAGGAGAAATTAAACCTTAAGTGTCGGACTTAAGTAGAAAACTTAAGGTGTTTTTCGTGCAACCGGCCCCTGCAATGCAGCAAAACCCATTCTGACATGGCCGCCTGTAGATGAACTGTGACGCTGTGTAATTTCATCTGTGAAAAAGCGAAGGAACGTTGTCGTTGGGAGTCTGATGTTTTAGATTGAGCCTTCAGCCAATCCTCCGCTCTCCATTCCGGTTCTCCTCTCCAGTCTTTCTTTTCCTTTTGTTCTGGCTCCAAACATCCTCACACAGTCACATCCTGTCTGTATGAATAATGCCAATGTGCAGTCGGTGTAGTCCGAGATGAGAGGCTACAGGTGAAGATAATGAATGATGTCAGTGGTTGTTACGTTGTAGTGGCCAATGTACAAGCGGCAAAACGTTCTCATTGCAATTTGGTGACACATCTGGTTCATGCGTGTTTTTTCCTGTTCACCAGTATCTCGTCATTACTGCAGATTTACCACAGACTTGTTTTTTAAGTTTTTTTAAAGTCTCATTGGTAAAACACTGACTGTGGGGTAACACCAGCGTCCATGCTTTGTAGATGAAAGCTGTTTTCCCGCCCTAAAATGAAGGACAGATTACAGATGGTTCTGCTCTGTTTTCACAATCAACAATGGTTTTTTTTTTAAAGAAATAGTTTTCACGAGTTTCATTTCCCTCATGTCCCTTCTTTTGCACCAACAGATCTTGTTCACACTAATGACAGTCTCTCTCTTTCTCTGTACTGTGGCTGTTCCACAGACTTTTCTGTTTTAGCTTTCAGATATATTTCTTTATCTCTATATGAAATAAAAGACGATTGTATGAAATTAAACGGTGTTTCAGTCTGTGCTGTGTTACTTTTACTGTCTACATGGGATTTTACTGTAAAGACTGGACCTGGAGGTGGAGGAGAGACTCACCTGTCTGATTCCACAACAACCATGTGACCTACTCAATTATTTCTAACAGAAAAACTGAGTCTACAATGACATGCTGCGTATTTGTAGATTGTGCATGCTGACACGTGCTCTTGGTATTTACAGGTGGGATTATAGGACTTTACACGATGAATCAGAGGATCTAGAGAGTCACCTTTTACCCTACACTTTCAATTTTTCTGACATACAATATGTTGCACCAGGGACTGCCACGGTATAATGATATCACACAAAATACCTCATAATTGAGAGTCTGAAATATCCTACTCAAGTCTAAGTTGACCTCAATGTTCAGAAAAGCTGTAAAAGTACCTATTCTGACGACTATAATGACTGGTCACAATAAAAATACCAGTAAAACATCTTTACAGTGACAATTTCAATATAAATACACATTGCCTTCCAACCAGTCCCTCTGCAGTTGACTGAAATAAGTTTAAATTGAACCAAAATCAAATGAAATGTCGTCCTGATCCATTCATAATAGAAAAATAAAAGGTAGGTTGCTCTAATGACTTCTTTAATTCTACTCTCTTTTTATGTGTCCAAAAATAATTCAGTACAATCCACTGTCAAAAACTGAGGACAAGATTTGTCCCACTGATCTTAGAATATACTCACAAAATGACTGAAAGGTGACACAGTTACAGTCACAGACTGTGGTGAGATTGAACTTTCAATCCCAACTTTTAACCAACATGCCTGAGAAATTCTTAAAGTGCTTATGAGATGGAAATATAAACATCTACAGTTCAGTGACAACTGGGCAAACTGCACCTGCTGAGGAAAATATAGTGTTTTATCTTTATTTTAAGATAAAACCTTTTTAGCTTTATTTCACATTCAGCAACGGACTCATACAATCCTGATGTGTTAGGGAACGTCATAGAAAATCATTCCTGCCTATAGCAATCAGGATATATGGTACATCTCTGACTCATCCAAAACACCCTCCAAATGAACATACCATACTTATTTATTTATATTATCTACCTTTAATTTGTATTGCATACTTGAATCCTGTGTATTTTTGTCTTTTACTGTATTTTTAACTCAGATTTGTCCCCTAGTTCTCTTAACGTGGGTAGTTACCTAAACTGACCGCCAGGTGGAGCAGTAGGTACAGACTAATACTTGGACAGTTGACTCTTCAATGACAGAAAGTTACATCTTATGTGTTGTCAAAACTGTAATGTGCTTAATTAACTCTAATTTGGAGAATAATAGCATTGGCTCAAAGCCATCTATTTCTCAGTGGGGATACAACCACAGCATTTATTTTGTACTGGACCGGTATAGTTTCCATTAAATGTTACTTAGCATTTGTTTGCCTAAAAGCTAACATGGGCTGGTACTTGAGATGAAAGTAAACCCTCTACAGTGACTCATTTCAGATCCCAGTTACTAGTTTAAGAAACAATAATTTAGAGCACGTGTAATTATAAACCTGTAGCAGGTCTCAGTCTTAGTGGTAAAGAAACAGAATCCCGCTCAGTCTGAAAATATACGGTGTTTATGGCTCGATATAATTGCACTACTGTTACAGATTTCCATACAGCTGATGAGACAGGAACTCTGCCCACAGTGCTCGTATACGCGTCGTGCCCGCGCAGGTGTGGCTCTCAGGCTCGCACCCGCGTGAACCCTCCCCCTCAGCTACAAACTACAAACCGAGGCTGCGCGCTCACGTGAAGTGATTCATTGTATCAGACTGAGACGAGAGGAAGCAGCGAGCGATTCGACTGGTCGGTAAACCAGCTCTGCCCCGCGAAAACACTGAAAAACCCGACTGCCCGCCACAGAAACTGCAGGTAAACTACTTTCTTGAATACCAAACGATTATAAAGCGCCACTTTTACCATATTCTTCAGTTTAGAAGCGGACATGGTTATTTTATTTAAAGTTATCCGGAGCTTTGAAAGGCCGTGCTAGCAAAGCTAAAAGCTAGCGGGGTTAGCCAACGGTAGCCAAGTTAGCTTTTCCTCACACCGACCTCAATCTCTATTGCCGCTTCCGCACTTGCCGCACAGTTGAGCTGAGGAGGGCTGTTAGCAAACTGTGCTAACTTCAGGAACGTCTGTAAACTGGACCGTAAAGACTAGCTTAAATTAGCGAGCCAGCCGTAGCCAAACAATGAAGCTCTTTTCCTGACTTGCCTCGGCTGACCAGGCGGCTTCCTAACGGCTCGGCGTTACTTCATGAATGGCTGATAATGGTAATTTTCCAAAAACATGCTAAACTCTATATAGATTTAATAAACCACTAGTGTACTTTGCTTTTTTTGAACCCCAACACTCTTTTATTTTCTTTATTTGTCGTTCTGAAGCTTTTAAAACGTGTCAGTGATAATAAGACATAGAGTTTCTACTTGGCGAGGGATTTTAAGTTTAACTCTTTCCTGAAACGAGGTTTTGTCATTAGCTGAAAGTCTTATCTACTGTACGTATCGTATGTGCGGGTCTCGCTCGGTGTTTAGTTTGGATCGGGGCCACCCACCCATTCTTCCACTGCGGACACACTAGCCATCTGTTGCCTCTGTGATGACGCCATCTTTATGGTGACCCACCCAGTGGCTCGCTGGTTTAAAAACAATGTTTGACTGAACACTGGGAGCTCTCTCAGGCGAGACACACAACTTCTTCTGTGTGTTGCCTACGACGCCCAGTATACCACACCAAGCTTCAGTCGGTTTTCTAGCCAGTCATAGGAGTGTAAGATATTCGACCACATAGGGCTTGGTGATCTATCATCGCTGCTATTAATGATATGACACAATTATGTGTGTCAGAGTTTGTGTTTTCATACATTAGTAAATCAAAGCTAAGACATGTGATATGGTCCTGGGGAAAAATAGCAGTAATGTACATGATTTTCAAGCTGTTTGCTCTTTTTTTTGCTCTGTGTGGTGTAAGGAAAATTTTACTGAGCAACACTACTCTCAAGCTACACATTGATAAGTAATATTCATGTAATTTTTACGGTATTTACTCCCCTTATTTGTGATCAAATTTTTATAATTATTTTGCCCCCAGCGCTGGAGGTTGCAAAAAGAAACATCAGCATCTATAACATTAGACATGGGTCCTATAACATAATGTACTAACATGCTGCTCTTATTTATCCATGTACATAATGGCATTCAGCAGCTGCCTGACAAAGGGTTTTTATACCCCTCCAATACTAGAGCCTTGATACATGATGCATGGATACATTATATTTCAGATTTGATATTTTTAGACATGGGCCCAGTGAAACTCTTTTTATAATTAATTCAGCTTATTTTATGATATTTGCCAATGTAGAAAAGCCTATAGAATAGCATTTGTACTGTAACTCAGGCAGGTCTTATTGGAGGTTTTACACAATGTCACTCTTGAAGCTATTAACTAACACCATATCCTCCATTATAATGGAGAAAGATGACATTGATTGGCTGATAGAAACCCAATTTCATTTAATTGATGGATTTAGTCAAACATCTCCCAATGATCACAGGCTTATTCCCAACGCATATATATGTCAGTCAATGTGAGGAAGGCAAGCTTATGGCTGACCAGAATTTGACTGGTTGGTGGTAATTATCTATTAGTAATTTTCTTAGTTTCAATGGTGCACCTATTTAAACAATTTAAGTATTTTTTACTTTTTGATTATAAGGATCAAAGTCTCAACACATAATATTATTAAATCATACTTCAATCATTCTTTCATTTGGCTTCGAATTTCATTCTTTTTACACACATATATGTATATATATATATATTAATTAAACATACTTAAATATACTTTATTTATCCCCCAGGGGAAATGAATGTGTCCAGTAACTCATTAGTAATAATAATGATAATGACAATAGTTAATAATAATTATATTATAATAAAATTCAAGTAAAAGCACAAACATGATGATAGCAATGTGTGAAAATGGGACCGAAACACATTTTCAGCCACACAAAACCTGAATCCTTAAACCTTAAAAGAAAAACTAAACGGTCCAAAAACATCTGTCCCATCAGTCCAAACATTAATTCAATAGGTGCGATATCCAGTCAGTAATAAATGGTAAATAAGAATAATAGCTCAGTAGAGTAACCAGTTCTGAAGACCCCAGCCTTTCACAGTATAAATCATATTTAAAATTTGACATTAATCATTATATTTGTGATTTGAATAGCTTTTATGGTGGTCAGAAGATTCAGTGCTTCAGTTCAGCAGAATGATAATCTGGTTGATTTAGTAATTCAAGATCCCCAATGTTGTATCTGCTGTCTACAATGTGTAGGTGACACAGACTGTTGCATTTATCCAACAGCCAACAGGGAGCACATATCACTAACCAGTCTTCACTGAATAGATATTTTGACAGTGTATTTTATCATAATGTTTGTGCTGCATGCTGTGGTAAAGAGCAATTATTTTTCTGCTCCTTTGACACCGCCCAGAAAAATGCACGTCCGGTGGCAGAAGAAAAGCACATGCCAAGTTTCTGTCTGAAACTGAAATATTCACCAGCCGACAGTCAGTTAACCACCATTAAGATGGGTGTGATTTTTTTTTTCCAGCCTGCAGACTGCGTGGGGTTTTTCTAAACACACACAGGCCTTAGATAGAACCGTGTGGGGTTTTCTAAAGGACAGACCTGTGAATCATAAAGCGCACACTAATCATTTTTAATAATGCAGTTAAAGCTGTGTAATATGACCAGATGATGTAGAATGAATAGTGTTTAGTTGATCGCATGTGTCTGGACAGGAGTGGGTTTGACTGACATGCCTGCTGTCAAACATATTGTCTGTTTGAGTTTGATAGGATGACAGTTTAAATGGTTTATCATGCTGGTTACTCCACCCCAAAGAGAGCTGCACGATATGCAAAAAAAAAAATCATATTGAGATCTTTTTTGGAGGATATTGTGATTTCAGTTGGAATGGTCGTTTTCACTGAAATGAAATATAAATGACGATGATGTGATTTTTGTTGGTCTTGCACCAAACAAACACGTTCCTTTACATTTGGAGAATATGATTTGTAGGTCGAGGCATCTCTGTAGCACCGCAACACTGACGGTGCTAACAATGACACACTTTACCTTTTTTATTATTTAAAAAAAATGCAGCTCCTGTGATTTGGATATTGCATTAGGTCATATTGAGATTGTATTTTGATTAATTGTTCAGATTTAATCCCAAAGGTGGAGACTCAGTTGAAGGACAAAACCTACAAAGAATTGTTTTTAAAACAAAATGTGTGCCTTATTTAATTAACTAGTTTGAAGAGCTGCTCAAATTAAGAGCCTCAGTTTTTATCCAAAGGAGCATAGTCAGTGAGTCCAGTGTGTGTTTGTGTGCCATAAATCAATCATCCCTATTGCAAAAATCAGTCAGATAAGAAGGTCTCCCCCTGCTGCCAGCACCCTTATATTATATATACTTGACGGCAGGACTGTGGCGTGTTGCTCTCTGGTTATCTCCGTCACTTTATCTTTATCTGTCTTTTTTTGAATTTCATCTCACGGTTTCTTGTTTGCTAACATGCAGACGAGGGCGTCGGTTTGCACATGTAGCCTCGTCCTTAATATTTAGCACAGTGGTTCCCAACCTGCTCCAACTCATGGCCCATTTGAAAATCTTAAAAAATGTTGGCGACCCACATCCGACCACATAACAATGCAAAGGCCACATAAAGCATTTTCATTTTAAACACTTTATTTTAATTAACGATCAAATATTTGGGATTGCACTGAAAGCAGATGAAGATCAATTTTTCTTTTTTGTTTGAAGGGAGAGATCACTTGTTGATTCTCCATCTGTCTTTTTTTCTTTCTAGCTCTTTCTGTTGCTAACCAGCTATCCATGTTGATACTCCAGTTTTAGCCATAGATGTGATCTTTTAGTGCGTAAACACACTGAGATAGCAAACAAAGTTCCTACCAATGGCTTATCACAGTGACAGGAGTTTTTCAACATTTTTAATGTTTTTTAAAGATCAACGTGTAAAAACTTTATATTTTTGATTTATTTTTTTATATTTGATTATATATAGCACATCACACATCAACTGAATTTGTTGTTACTATGGCCACCAACATAAACCAGCCTTTTTTTTCCTCATTGGTGTATGGTAACATTTCAACTCATGTGTCCGAGAAGAAGACAGTTATGTGGTTGTCCTCAGGCTGTAATTGTTGTTGCATTGCTTTCATCACTTCATACACGCACCACTTCAGATGCTTTATAACCCTGTCCAATTTTAGTGTGACTATGAGATCTGACTGGCTGTTTGCCAAAGCGTCCGGCAGATATGACTAACATATTGGCAACAGCTCAAGACGACGATGATAATGTGTGTGGTTGGTGCCGTGTAGATGCAGCTCATGGTTTCTGATTATCACCCATATTTAGTTATATATTTTGACTCCGAGCCAGTTTCATCCATGTTTTTGTTTTATCTTCCACTCACACTTTGCTTAAGAGCGGCTTCGAGAGGCTCGAAGCTCGCAGGCGTGTTCAGCTCCTCATTTACATACTGTTTAATGTAGTTCATTGTTGTAGTGGAGCATCCGCTGGCTTAGTTTACTTAGTCCAAAGTTATGGACCTGCTACCTGTTGACCACTTGGCTAATTATTACCTTACCGCTATTACATCTGCATCAGAGTATGTGCTGTTACACCCCCTCCCGTTTTTTGTCCCCCAACATGCGTTCAGACATAACATTCTTCACTGCTAATGGAGATTTTCCTGTTGTTGTCCCTCTTGTGTTATATCTTGATTTTTGCCCCTGGTCAGTGTTTTCCTGTATCTTTTTTAACATAGAAATTTACTCTGCTGCTGACCCTACCTCCACACGACTGTTTTATGGCGTAGACACCCACGGTCGCTCCTGATTGGCTCTCATCAGCCTCAACTACCAGCGGTGAATACAACATGATAATGGATTACAACCATGTTGTCTTTGCTAGCAGCTGTTGATTAGGTTCAATTCTGTATTTTAACACTGCAGCTGTCTTTGCTGTTCCTCCTTCAGAGGATTTTTTGCTACTAATCAACTGCAGAGTAGATAATCTATTTCCTGTTTACACTGGCTCGCACATGCTCAGTGTACATATGCGTTTTCAGCTGTGATAGTCTGGGTGTCGGTCGTTTCAGTTTGAAAACGCTGTTTTAAAATGTAAATGGAGTCATGTGGACGTAACCTGAAATTGAAACCTAGAAGCTGTTTTCTTTTACTACCAGTCTGAATGTTCTTGTTGGCTGTTAAGCAGCTCTAAAGGAACAATTAGTAGCTCTAATGATTTACAGGCACCTAGGTGCCATTTGTTGAAATGTGGGGACATTGTTATTGCCTTTAAACCCACCGGTCAAACACTGCAAGCACTGACCATACACTCACCTCCGGGCTAAAGCTGCCCCCATTTCTGTCTTTTCCTTTTTTTTCCTGGAGTCACAGAGGCAATGGTTTAATCTTTTTTGACACTGCTGTCCTACTTACAGTATTCATCTAACATTTATAGGATGCTCGCAGCACTGTGGTGCATTTCAGGGTCACAAACCAATGGGACCCAGGGCAATAAAAGGCCAAACTCGAAAGACAATTTTATTAGGGAGCAGTAACTGACAAGAATTGTGAACGTACTTTTTGTCTGTGTTTCAATCAGCTCATTGAGTTGTCACACTTTAACATGTGAATGCAACCAGTGTGCCACAGCAGGTGTCTTGTTTGGGAACATTAGTTTGGGGGGGGGGGCAGCAAGTGTGTTGTTTAGAAAAAGGCTTTTGATCAGGAGTGGACTGCAGTCACAGTCGGAAGCTGGAGGAAATATAGACAGCACAGTTTAAAGGAGCTGAAACAGCCACACACACAAACACTCTAAAAATCTTACAAGAAAAAAACTGAAGAGGAAGGAAGTCGGACTGGTTTGGACCAGAAACGGTCTTCTTATGCGAGGCCTGTGCAAGATATTAAAAAAATGAGCAGAGTCATTGTTTTTTACAATATGCCACAAATCAATTGTTTCATAGTTGAATGAAAACCAATGGTATGTCTGATCAAAGCCAAAGTGACAGGAAATTGAACCTGTAACCTCGGCCGTGGCGTTGGCTTCAGACTGCTGCAGATCAAAACTGAGAGAACAGGAGAGGTGTGAGGAGTCTGCTCTCCACCACACCCCCAGCTGACTCACTGTGATGGAGATTGCAGGGTAGAGAAATGTGACTGACACTGCACAGTGCTGCAGGAGGAAATAACCATTCAGGGATATGATTTATTCCCTCCTCTGTGTGTGAGCGCATGTTGTCCTTGTCAGGATAGTAAGTACATGGCACATGTACCGTGTTAGCGCGGTGGTGCCGTCATGGCAGATGACGTGTGTTTGATGTGAACTCGGCGAATAAAGTGATTGTGTCTGCGTTTTCAACACCCAACAACAGGAGCTTTCTGGACTCAGTTCCTGTTCATGTATAAAGGGAAATTGCTGTTTTCCTGTTTTGTGTTTTGATCAGACTGTCGTTGGTAAAATGTAAAGTACATGAAGTCAGTCCAGTTCAATAGAAAATCCACAACATTTTCACGTATTTCCTGTTTGTGGCTTTCTGGTGAGTGTCATTTCCCAATATGGAGAGATCCAGCTGTTGGTACACTACATGTCACTCATTTGCCCCAACTTCCCTTAACTCAATTTGGCAAGCTCGTTCTCTCACACCCACACTGTCTGTTGGTCTGTTACTGTCATGAATTACTGGAACAAAGGCGAAATTGTACTTCCTGGTAGCTCACATGTTGTGCTGTGACATGACTATTCTTATATGTTGAAGCCTGTGTGAGGACGGGACAGGAACCTACAGTACAGGGACATACACAGATCTTTGAACACTTAACACTGCACCCACATCTTAACTTGACATTGTTATATACAAACACACACAGATTAAGATCAGGGATTAGTAGCTTTAACAGTAAGGTTACCTACCTACAGATCATACTTCCAGACGTAAAGGAACATGTTTGTTTGCAACAACGATCCTTTCAACTGAAATTGCAATATCTGCCAAAATAATTGCAAAACGACTTATTTTAATGATGTTCTGCAGGATTTTCTTGTGATTTGAGCCCAAGTACAAAGTGTTCCCTGTAGCCTCAAGGTTTCAAACCTTCCTCATTTCAACAAAAACCTTTAACCACAAACACGACCATCATTTCGACCTTGGAAATTTTTGTTCCATTCATCCTCTCACAAACCCCCTGCCCCCCCCCCAAACCTCAGATAGAGAGCTGCTGCTTTCCAGCTGTGCGGTTAAATGTGTCATAGTGTTGCATGGTGCACCTGCACCTGCATCACTACACATTGATGCTGTCATGCAACAAATGGCACCCGTTACTTTCATGTTTTGTTTTTTTATGTCTCCGTGGTAACAACCGTGGCCAGAGGCATCATGTTGTTGGGTTGTCTGTCTGTGAACATGTTATCTCAGCCACGCCTTCAGATAGGCCGATGAGTCATTAAGTTGACTGTTCATTTATTTTTATTTGTGCACAGGATGGTTTATTTTATCTGTCAAACGCTGTAGTTTCTCTTCTGATTCTGCTTTATTCTAACTGTTGCCTCCTCCACCGTGTCCTCCAGCAGGGATGGCAGCCATCCGTAAGAAGTTGGTGATAGTGGGGGATGGAGCTTGTGGGAAGACCTGCCTCCTGATCGTCTTCAGCAAGGACCAGTTCCCCGAGGTCTACGTCCCCACCGTGTTCGAGAACTATGTCGCCGACATAGAGGTGGACGGCAAACAGGTGAGACAGCTGCAGCGATTCTGTCACTACTATCGGTCTGTCTCATCTAATGTGTCAGAGTGGAGCCTCAGGGTAGATGTATTTGTTAAGTGACTGTTTCTAAGCAGAATACTACAAATGATTAAGATCCTCAGAGAATTTGCACCTTTCTCTGACACCATTGAGCTGTACTCGTGTTTCCGAAGCGTCACGACGGGTCGCTGCTTCATTTAGTTTCAGAAGTGGTTTTTGTCCTGGTATCGGGGCTCATTCTGTTCCCTCGGTGCTTAATCATGCTCAACGCTTTAATTCTACCTTCTGGGCCAAGTGAGTGTTGATAAAACTGTACTGCTCCATTTCCACATCCTCCCTCACACTGCAGCAGTCATCGGTTTCTTTCTTCTTCTTCTTTTTTTTTAGAGATTGCTTTGGTTGAGCTTAGTCACAGGCCTTCAAATTAATTTTAAAAGAAATCAGCACATTACAGGGTCTGGATTGTTCGTGACTCTTGTAAAAATCTGCAGTAACCCAGAAGTGAGAAGGATATTAATTTTAACTCCTTGTGACTCTCAGGTTGGGGATGTTCTGTAAGTGTGTCGCACCCAGCCCGACTCATCAGTCACCAACCCGCTCACCCTGACCTCATTTTGGGTTAATGGGATTGTGGGACGTGGAGTCTTTATTGGCTCATTGATTTCTGACCCTCTGTGCTGCTGGGGACGACTCGGGCTACTTCTCCTCGAGTGTCACACTTTTCCAAACGTCTCGATCTGGTTTCCTTTCCCCGTTTGTCCCTGCAGTCTGCTCAGAGAGGTCGCTCACGCTTTACACCGTCACGTGCCACCAATAAGAATTATTTAGTTCAGATTATTTAGTAGGAATGAACAAAGATTAAACATCGGTATATTTAAATTATATTATACTGCCACGAATCTTAATTTAAGTGAAGCCACAAAACGGGTTAAAATTTAAGCAAAATACATTTTCATATTTATGTTCATGTTCCGAATGACTTAAAAGCTGTATAAGTGCAAATGACCCAGAAATTGCTTTAACAAATTGGTAATGAATTTAAAATGAGGTTAACAGTCCGAATCATGGACCAAACCATCTGATGACGTCAGCTCTGCTATTTATGAATGAGGGGACTAAATCAAGATTTTCCAGATAAAAAACAGCCAAAGTCTAAATCCAGAGATTCAGCTTCAACTTCACAGCTTAGATTTTAATTGTACCTTAATTCAGTTACATTTAAATGTGAATAATTAAACAAAATCTTATATTTCGATCATTAAACAGGACTGCAACATTTAAGATTATATTCACCCTGAAGTTTATCATGTTTAATTCATTGCTTTCCACTTTATGGTCAGAACTCTTTTGCCGTTAGGACGCACTTGTTTGTTTTTGTGGCATAAGAAAATAAATCTGTCGTTTTTATAGTTCCTGTTCAGGACGAGTCTCACTGCAGATCTTTGTTGATTATCTCGATTATTCTCTGGCGTCACTGTGAAAGTCGTGTTGAGGATTGGACAAGGTTTATTAACTTCTCTACCTCCTGTTTTTTTCTTCCACTTCTTTCTCCTTCCTCTTTTCTCCACACTCCTTTGTCCATCTCCCTCTTTACTGTGTGTGTGTGTGTGTGTGTGTGTGTGTGTGTGTGTGTGTGTGTGTGTGTGTCAGGTGGAGTTGGCTCTCTGGGACACAGCTGGTCAGGAGGACTATGACAGGCTGAGACCTCTGTCCTATCCAGACACTGACGTCATCCTCATGTGCTTCTCCATAGACAGCCCTGACAGCTTGGGTGAGTGCACGCACACACACACACACACACACACACACACACACAGGTCAATGACATATAAGGCCAGTTTTAAAATACACAATAGAAGAATATTTATTACAATAGTTCAAATATAAGGAATGTTCTTCACATAAATTCAAATGAAAATTTTAAATGAAGTCATTCACTTAATGACACTGATATTTTATTTTGAATTTAAAATAGTTATTGCTATTATTGATCGCACCACATGAGATGTTGACACACTAAATGACAGAAAAATAAATGTTTTAGAAAAGTTAAAGTGAGAACATATATGAGAGTTACTATATATATATATATATATATATATATATATGTATGTGGAATCTTTTCGTGAATTTAAACCTTTTTTTTTTTTTTTTTTTACTGAAAAAAATGTACCCATATACACAGACACACGCCTGTATCCGTTCACGCACATCTCCCCCTTCCAATACACTCCCTCCATCTTTCCGTTTTCACAACAGGTTATTTGCAGCCCGTCTGTTCATCCTGTTGTGACCACTCGTAGGGGAACTGCTTACATTAGCTTCCACACATCAACACACCGACACAAATCACTTGTGATGCAGTGGCATGCGGCCACGCTGTAAAACTGGAACACGTCCTCTCCTAATGATGATGAACAGCACTTCTCTGATCATATGGAAATGGCTTTTCATAAAACGAGGCGATAAAAGCTGCAGATGATTGAAGCGCCACACGTTAATTAAACAGAATGAAATGAGAGGAAGTTACAGCTGTAATAAAACAAAGGCTCATTGTTCAGAGTCGTGTTACATGACCAGTGTTCAGACTTTACGTTTCTGTTTAAAGCGGCAGATTTTAACTCTGGATCCTTGGAGCCGAGGCTGGAGGCTGTGGTTTAGTTCTATTCTTTAGAAGCAGAATTATCTCTGCAGCGACTCGCGTTTTAAATTAAATTACGTGGTAAATGTTAGACTAATCACATTTCTGGCTTCCTCTGATTTAACTGTTAACTCATTTAAAGATAAGCGTTTCTGCTGTGCCATCAAACTGCTTTTATTCAAATGTTCCATTGTTAGTCACTGAGTTTTTTTCAGTTGTGGCAAAAGGAACTTTTATCAGCATTTCATTTTATGAATATTTACTTACTTATTAGCATTTTCCGTTTTTCTTGCTCCACGCCGGCGACAGTCAGAGCAGCCATATTGTTTTCAGGGTGTCCAATCGTCCGTCTCATTCTCGTGGACACGATACCTCGGTAACGCGTTGAGGGAACTTCTTCAAATTTGACACAAACATTCACCAGGATTCAAGGATGAACTGATTAGATTTTGGTGTTTTTAGGTCAAAAGTCGTGGTCAGTGTGACCTCACAAAAGACAATTTTGACCTTATTTTTATTTTTTCTTCAGACGTCGCAGAGCAGAATGAGGCCTAATGCAGAAACAGTGGAAAATATGCAAATACTGTTAAATACAGTCGTGTCACTTTTTCCTTCATTCAGCCGCCGTCGTCTCCTGTTAGAAAGTTTATCCATCAGCTGGAAAAATGTAAATACAGTAGAGATTCATCACTTCATCACATGCGTTCTTTCTTCCACAGAAAATATTCCAGAGAAGTGGACTCCAGAAGTCAAACACTTCTGTCCCAACGTTCCCATCATCCTTGTAGGAAACAAGAAAGACCTGCGTAACGACGAGCACACGCGCCGAGAGCTGGCCAAGATGAAGCAGGTACCTCCATCCTTCTTTTAGACACGTCTCTGAATTTATCAGAGCTCTGTCACCTTTCTGAGTTTTCTGCTGTTGGAGTTCATGTCGTCACCGATCACGTTCAGAGGGGTTTACGTTTCTAGTACTTCAAATAATGGATCCTAGACATCTGAAAACCTTTTTCAATGTGAAATCCCTCTAGAAATTAAGAATATACATTTTGGTTATTTACCTCAAGACTAAAAGAGATTAATATTTAAAGAACATCCTGTTGGAGGCTGGTAAAAAGAATCTCACCAGGAAATGATTTTCACAGTGAAACAGAACTTTAAATGTGTGGATGGAGATTATAATGGAGATAAAAGCATTTGTTAATTACAAATTAGAACAATTTACTACATATTGGAAAAAATGGATTAAGTATGCAACGCCCTGGAGGCCTGATTTTATTTTCTCAAATCAATAATTTTGTCAGAGAGAAAAGACCCCGCTCTTCCTGTTCATGGTTCTTTTTCATTGTCTCTTCTAGAAACTTACTTTAAAATAAACTTTAAGAAGTTTTCTGAGACCCGACACAAACTCGAGTAAATGTCACTCAGTGTGAAATCTGAGACACAGTTTGGAACAGTGTAAATATTGAGATTGTTTAATATGAATAAAAAAAACCTCTCAGACCAACGTTTATCAAGACGAAACAGACAAAGGTGTAATTCTCTTTCTAATGCAGGAAGTGTGCCCTCACAGTTTCACCTTGTATGAAGGTCATTAAGACAGAAACACTTTCCCTCTGCTCCGTGTCTCAGTGACTGAAGCTCTGAGCAGTTGTTACATGAGGAAAGGTCTCAGTGTTTTCACTTTATTAGCTTGTGTTTTAAAGACTTGTGAATGTTGAGGTCAGTGAACGTTCCCAAACCAAACTCTCGCTTTTCTCCTCGTCCAATAGGAGCCGGTGAAGTCAGAGGAGGGGCGGGACATGGCCGGACGAATCGCAGCGTTCGGTTACATGGAGTGCTCCGCTAAGACCAAGGACGGCGTGCGGGAGGTGTTCGAGATGGCCACCAGGGCGGCGCTGCAGGCCCGCCGCGGAAAGAAGAGCAATAAATGTGTACTGCTGTAAAATGGCCGACATATTTGGACTGTTTTCACCCTGGGCTACTGTACACGGGGCAGGGACTCGGGAGGGACTGAGGGGTTACTAGACGGGAGAGGGAGGGGGGGAGGGGAGGAAAAGCAGTAAACTACTACCGCTGTAAAATGGCTGTTTGTTGGACTGAATTTACCCTGGGACTTGGGTTTGGGAAGCTTTGATTGACAGGGGTGGGTGGGTGGATGGAGGGGCGGGGGACGAGGAGGAGCAGGAAACGACGGCCGCTGTTTTAAACCATTGGGCTCTTTTACCTGTGGGACGTTAACACCAGCCTTCAAGTGTCACACGCCACTTACACTGATGAAGACCAGGAGATCCCGATCCTCTCTCTGAGTCTAGCTGATGGTTAAACTGATGGAGCTGCTGCTGAATTATGGGAAGCCTCGCCAGGTGTTTGTGGTGGAGCTGGACAGGTGAAGGGATGTGGGTGTGACCATGATGAGACCGTAAACACCAAACCAGGACTAAGCTGTTTCCTACATTCAGCTGACAGCGTATATTCTGTAGTTACCTGGACAGGTTATTTCAACTAAAGGAGACAAATCAGCTGTAAACTCCGTGAATCAAGCGCTCCTCAAACCGCTGCTTTCAACGCATTTGGTTTTAAAGTTCAAGTCAAGAACCAGAAAATAATTTTCTCTTGCAAAATGAGACGTTTAGACGGTTGTTGTCGTCATCGAACACGTGGTCATGTGCCGTCAGGTGCTGCGTGTTGCATTATCAGAGAGGCGTGGAGTTAACAGCCTCACATGTTCAGCTCAGTGCCGCTCAGTCTCACGGTGGCTAATCCTGTGCTAACAGACAAACACACTGAGATCATCTGTTTCAGTCACCCAGCAGCAAATCCTGTTATTAGTGGATAAACAGGTTGAACAGCTCTGGGTTTAAGTTAAAGTTAGTGGTGTGTGATCCTCTGATCTTTAAATATTAGACATCTTTCCACTGCAGTGCTGTCGAGAGCGGCGGAGTAAAGTGACCCCTCCCTCTGTCAGGGCGACACATTACATCTTTCCTGTATTTGATTCGTCAGCTCTCACCTGAAGCTTCTGTAACATTAAACACAGTCTAAATCAGTGGAAGTGGCAGGTGAACATGGTCCCACTCTGACACAGGTAACTTCCTGTCCACGCCTCGGCCCTCCACCCCTTCCTGTTCCACATAGCTGACTGCTGGTGCTCATCTTCCCCTGGTTTCAGACCAGGACAAAGAACAAGGAGAGGAGAGTATTGTTTACATGCACACCACTGATCTCCTTATTTGGGATGAACGACTATTCATTTTTTTTTTGTGTGTGTGTAGACGTATAAAAATCAAATGTACCAAAACCAGAATTAGTTGACGTCTGAGGGAGATAAAAAGGTGCCTGTGATGAACCATGTCGTCCATCATTTCCATGTCTGCCTTTCACTGGTTTCACTGTTGCCGTCTGACATCTGCTCCAACAGGTAAAGACAAACATGACCTTTTTACCCAGAAGACTGTGCATGGAAATGCCAGAATAGTCAGGTTGGGCAGTGGGATAGATTTGGAGTAAAGCATGCAGGTAATCTACGTCACTAACGAGCGGAGCGACGATTAACCACCTGCCGTGTGTTTGGGGGATTTTGTAAAGGTCTTTTATTTTTAGAAACGTGACGGTGGCCGTTCATGTTTGGGATTGATGAGGCGCCGACCTTCCCTGACTTCTCTGTGTGTTTTAAAGCCAGACTGAGGCTCTCGACAGTGTTGTACCCTCCTGTTCTTCTTCCTGGCCTACAGGGAGGAGCCTGTTCCAGAAACCTAGTTTGTGTTGTTGTTTTTATACTTTAATTTCCTGCTTCAAAAAAAAAAAAAAAAAGTCATAAATATGTTGTCTATCAGTATTTAAAAATAGGAGGTGGAAGACTGGGGGACTGCTTACATGTTGTCGCTTTAGTTTATTCTTCTTTTTGTGCTTTACCTGAATCTTTCTGATGATTTACAATTGGTTGTAACGACCCGTCAATCATCCCTGCCAAATGCTGTTGTTAGGCAGTCAGGAGAAAGGCTGGCCCCTCGGCTGCCTGTCTAGAGCATCACTAGGACCACGTGTGCTGGCTCTTTTTCTGTTTGTTTGTTTGGAACACAAACATGGCTGAAAAGATGAAAAGGAAAAACAAATTAAGTCGCCTCATTATGTACAAATCATTTTTATTTCTCGTTTTTATTGTGTTTTTAAATCCTGATTTTTGGACGCTGAAGCAGTGATGTAAACAAAGGAACAGGAAAACCAAGCTGTATGCAACGTCTGTAAATATGAAATGTGGGTTTGTTCATACTAGACTATACACACGCACAGGACTGGAAACTGTATTTGTAAACTAGCTTTGGTTTGTGTAATAAATTACTTTCTATAACACCCAGCTTCTATTCATTATGGTCTCAGGAGGACGGAGAACAGCTCTATACATCTATAGCTCTATGCTAATACATATGTAATATGAATGGAGTTATGTATGAGAGACTTTATGAAGCGGTGGGTTACAACCCTCCCTCTGATGACGGGCCGACTGCGGCGCAAGTAACAACTGGCAAAAGAAATGCAGTTTAAAAAAAGTAAAGTGATTTGAAAAACAGGAATCACTTCCTTATGGAAAAAACAAACATTTTTCTAAAAAAAAGTTAATAACAAACATAAGTTGCAGTTCTTGAGCTGTTTGTTTTGCATTTTGTTGATGCAACAAATTTTAAGTCTGACCATCGAGACACTTTCCACCTTTTATAAGTTCATCTCTGGACGTGTTTTAAACTCTGTAAAAATCCTCTGCTGTGATTCATATTTAGTTTAACATGGTTTTCATCTCCTCTCACTTCCTGGTTGAGAAATCTGGATCAGGCCTTGAGCCCCGCCCACCACCTGCTGGCTCCAGGTGGACAGGTGAAAGAGCAGAGAGCATCAAGATGGTGAGAGGAGGAAACATCAGAGAGACTCAGCCACATGTTTGAGCCTCAGTCAGACCCAGACTCAGAGGAGGAGTCTGAGACCAGAACCAGAGACTAGCAGACGGGTCAGAACCGTTAGTATCTTTTCAGAACGGATTGTGTAGTCAGAATTTGTTTGTTTGTTAGCTTGTGACTGACAGTGTTAATGCTAACGCTAAGTCTCTGTCTCTGTACTGACAAGGTTTCAGGTGTATTTAGCCCCGCCCCCCGTCCCCACCAGCTGACAGGATTGGTTCCTGAGGTTTGTGACGTATGAAACCCTGAATCTGTGTTTATGAGACTGTGATTGGTTCACTGCAGGTCAAGGTGGAAACACTCAGTCATGGTGTTGATGATAATTTCATCATCATGTGTCTGTGTTATATAAAAACATCATGTGGACGTTAACGAGGTGAAACACTGGGGTTTCATCAGAGGGTTTTTAAAATAATCATTTGTTTAAAAAGTCTTATTTATAATTTTTTGATCTGTAGAGCTGTGGTTCACAACAGGTGAAAATAACAGGACACAGCGTCAACTGGAGATTTACCCTCAAAATGTTGATTTTTATTCCAACAACTTTTAAATCAAGTCTATTTTAATTAATGTTCTCACGACACCTTAAACCTAAACCACCACATCCCAAACTTTCAACCCAGTTCCACATCCATCAACTCAGTCACGGATGATAGGTTTCTGATTAACACTATATAGTGATAAATACAGATAATTTATTAGTGATGTACAGTGTGTAGCATCACGGGTTTTAAATCTTTCTGGTGCAGAGCTACAGTTCATTGCAACAATAAAAATCCCTCAGCAGACCTTATTGATTGGATGAGAATCCCACGCAAGATCTCATCTGATCATAAACCAGGACCAGTCAGACCCCTGAGAGCTGCTGCTTTTTCAGGTTTGGGTTGAAGATCAAAGCAGCACAGCAGCAGGTTTCCCCACAGCGTGATTTTTAATACATTATCCCATATGTTATAATATTGAATAACGCTGAATGTTATCATTTTAAAACAATGAAATTAGTTTTCTTAGCTGTGCAGAAGATGTAACTATCCCTCACCATAACAATGAATTGTGCACATCCGTAAGCATGTGTAAAGACAACGCTCAGATGTGCCAGCAGCTTCACTCAGAGACCTGTGCTGCAGAGAGAGCACAGTGTGTGGGATGCTGAGGTGAGGCAGCTTCAGCCTGTGTGGGATGATGCTGGGTGTTGTGGAGTAATATTGAGAAGCTGTGAGTGTGTGCAGAGAGGAGAGAGACGGTGGTTGTGTAAGGCATCATGGAGGAGTGGAAGTCCAGGAATAACATGGATAAATGTGAGAGCAGGCCAGTGCTGGAGTACACATTAAAGTAACTTTCATGTAGAAATACTTTGCCTTGCACACAGCACACATCTAATGCTTTCCAAGCACTGACATGAAACTACATGGAATCACATTTATGTTTTCATAGATCATATATGACATTTTATATTGGTAATGAAATGACAAGCTAACACGAAATGAAAGAGTGTGCTATCAGCTAGCTAACAGTAGTTAGCTGAACTGAAGCTTAAGGCTAAAGTTAGAAACTAGTTAACATTAGTTAGCTAAACTGTAACTTAAGGCTAAACTTAGAAGCTAACTAACATTAACGCTCATCCGTAGATACTTGACACATCTGATTCATAAACTCTGAAGATAAGAAAGTAAATAAGAGTAGTAAACAAGCTAGATAGTTAGCTTCTGCTACTTACATTTACCTACAGTGTCTGTGTGACACACAGGAGCAGAGACTAGACGACTCCTTAATAACACCAAACTTCAAGGCATAAACAGACAAAACAAAACTATAGACACAAAAACATGCTTTACATACTTTACTGTCATTGTGCAAGCATCAGTTAAAGGGAGTAAATCAGCAGCAGTCTAAATAAAAAGATATAAGGGTACATTCCAGGCTTTCCTGCTGTTATTCCTATTATCACATACCACTCAGATCACAGGTCGTACTGGAGTTTTATTACATCAGAGAGATGCCTGGAGAGACCTTTGGCTGCTTATATAGGAGATGTGTGTGGTACGACAGGAAGAGGAAGAGGAGGTGGGTTGGGAGGAGGAGGCCTCCACTGATATAAGAGGAGGAGTGTAAGAGGAAACAAGAAGTCAGCCTGTGCTTCTCTTACTGAAAATGACTCCCTGCAAATGAGAGGAAGATGCAAAGGCTTCAGTGAACTGAAAGCTGTCAAATAAATGTAGTGGGTAGAAAGTGCAATATTTCCTCTCGTGGCATTTGGCTGATCAGTGGTGGAAACATGATCACTCAGTCAGTAGGTCACTGACACTTACCGTTATAGAGCTGGGTCCTCCTGTTGTGGTTCAGCCAAAAGGTAAGAGACTTACCAAACCACCACAGACGCACAAAAGATAAACTAAATAATAAACTGTATCTTGAGGTCAAAACATCTCTCTACAACTAATCCTCCATTGTCTCACTGCTTATGACTTGGGACCAGTGTTGAAATGACAAGCTAACATTGGAAATGAAAGGGTGAGCTATCAGCTAGCTAACATTAACTAAATGTTAATTAGCTAAACTGTAACTTAAGCAAAAGTTAGCTAACATTAGCGGTCACCTGTAAATACTTGACACAATTTAATTCAGGAACTCTGAAGGTAAGACAGTAAAGTGTATTAAACAAGCTAGATAATTAGCTGCTACTGCTAATTATATTACACTACAGTGTCTGCGCGTTGCATGGGAGCAGAGATTTAAGGATGGAGCCTCTGATGGAGAGAGGCAGGTAGACGACATGTTTAGCGAGCATAAAGGTTAAGAAATGGTACGGTCCAATTTAGGGGTGTCTGAAATTGTAGTACAAGATTCTTACAGGCATGAATACGGGAAATATATTGTATTATTTACAGTTACACATAAGAAGGATATATAAATGTTTTACTCCCCAAAACTTGTTTTCACCTCTCTTGGGGGGGGGGGTCCAAGTCTTAATCAGGGGGGGCAAGACTCCCCCAAAATCAACATTAAATCCAAGTCAAAGACCAAAAAAATAAAGGTACAAAACCATGATTATAACAGACCTGACATGCAAGATAACAAGACGGATTCAGATATTTAGGCCATTCAGATCTCAAGTGTTCATGTTAAATAGTGATGTCACCAAGTGTGTAAGGTCGTTGTTTTATGCATTTCACTTGAACAGCTGCATACTGACTTAAATTGTCTTAACTTGCTGTTCTCCATGTTGCTGCTCTCATGTAATGGTGTTTGATAAACAAATTAAAAAAAAAAACTCCGTCATAAACAGATGCTCCATCTCTTTCTACAGTTAATGACACAAAGACTGCGACAGAAAAGACAAGGTGCAGCCATGTTGGCATCATCTCTATAAGAGCCTGGAGGCAACTTGTTGGAGCTACAGCTGCTGAAACAGCATTTATAATAAGACATTATTACAGGGACGTGTGGATGTTAATCAGTTCACTAAAACAGCTTTGTTCACAGCAGACTTCACGGTCTGTCTGAGGGAAACGACGAGGGAAACGTTCAGACCTAAACCACAGAGCGAAGAGGGAGGGAGGGAGGGAGGGAAGGAAGGAAGGAAGGAAGGAAGCTCGTCACTGCCTACTCCACCCTAACTGGCGGCCGGCGTCATGTAAGACACACCGCTGCCTCTGGTGCAACACTTGTGGAGAAATGAGTTGGAGGGAGGGTGACGAGCCTGTTCTCTGTCTGTCCGTCTGTCTGTCTGTCTGTCTGTCTGTCTGTCTGTGTGTGTGTGTGTGTGTGTGTGTGTGTGTCTGTGTCTCTCTGCTCGTGCTCTCTCCCTCCTCCCTGCTCCTCCTGCTGCCGACCGGAGAGGAGTAGCGCGCGGAGCAGCGCC